CCACAACCTTGTCCCAAAGGACAATGTCATGTGACCTGTTACATGAATGCCCCATGACCTGCCAGTCATGCTGGTGCAACCGCCATTACAGGTATCTTAACCCAATCGTTAGTAACAGTTGCCGTAATACAAATATTACATAGGTGATTATCCAAATTTTCACTATCGATGGGATTTGAACACCCAACCTACCACTTGGAGGGTTGACAATCTGACTACTTCACTAGGTCGCCACACCTCTTATAAACAAAAATTTTAAAAATTTTATTTATTATTATTTATTAAATATTAATTTTATAATCTAATAAATTTTAATAAATAATAAAATTAATAAAAAAAAAATTAAAAATTATTTTAAAATTACAAATTTATCTAATTATTATCTAATATTTATTTACTAACTTAAAAAATTTAAATAAAAAATAAAATTATTAAATAAAAATAATAATAAATAATAATAATAACAAAAAAATTAAAATTATCTAAATATTATATTAATATCTTTATAAACTTAAATTAAAAATTAAAAAAACTATTTACAAAAAAACAAAAAAAGATACATATATCTTATATAACTTAAACAAATTTAAAAAAATAACAATACAATCAATATATAAATCAAAAAATTAATATAAAAAAACTATAACTACATATTATATTGTTATAACACAATTTTATAATCTATAAATCTAAAAAAACTAATAAAATTAATATACAAAAATTAAAAAATTATTCACAAAAAACAAACTATAAACTATATATTATATTACTATCTCAATACTAATTTCAAGACTAGAAATCTAAAAAAAACTATAATTAAGTTAATGAACAAAAATCAAAAAAATCACAAACTAAAAAAACTACTTACAAAAGAACAAACTAAAAAAACTACTTATATAGAAACATACTACAAATCATATACACTGCCATCCTGATACTAATTTCAAGACTGATGAACCTAAAGAAGACAATAACAAAGTTAGTAGACAAGAATTAAAAGAAAATTATTCGCAAAAGAACAAACTACAAACTATATACCACATTATCATCCTGGTGCTAATTTCAAGACTGATGAATCTAAAGAAGACAATAACAACATTAGTAGACAGAAATTAAAAGAAAGTCATCTACAAAAGAACAAACTACAAGTTACATACCACATTATTATCCTGATGCTAATTTAAAGACTGGCAAATCTAAAGAAAACAATAACAAAGTTAGTAAACAGAAATCAAAAAAAAGGTGTATACAAAAGAACAAACTACAAGTCATATACTATATTACTATTCTGATGCTGATTTTACAACAGTAAGCCTAAAGAAGACAATAACAAAGTTAGTGTACAAGAATTAAAAAAAAAACTACACACAGAATAATAAGCTACAAATTATATACTATATTACTATTCTGGTGCTAATTTCACAATCTGGCAAATCTGAAAACAATAATGAAATTAGTAAATATGAAACAGCAAAAAAAGAAATATAAAAAAGAAACTGAATTTCTTAACTACTGTTCTGGCACTGATTTCACAATCTGGTGAACCTAAAGAATAAAGAAGACAATAATAAAATTAGTAAGCAAAAATCAAGAAAAAAAAGTTAATCTAAAAGTTACTAACCATATTACCATCCTAGTGCTGATTTACAACCTGGTAAACCTAAAGATAAAAACAAAGTTAGTGGGCAAAATTCAAAAAAAAACCATATACAAAAGAACAAACTACAAGCCAAGTACTATATTACTGTCTCAGTACTAATTTCATGACCCAACAAACCTAAGACAAAAACAGAGTTATTAGACAAAAAACTATATACAAAAGAACAAACTACAAGCCAAGTACCACATTATTATTCTAGTGCTAATTTTATGACCTAGCAAATCTAAGAAGACAATAACAAAATTAGTGAGCAAGAATCAAAAAAAAGTCACTTATAAAATAACAAATTATAAGCAACCTACTATATTAACATCCTAATGCCAATTTTATGACCTAGAGAACTTAAGGAAGACAATAACAAAATTAGTAGACAATAATAAAAAAAAACTACACACAAAAAACAAACTACAAGCACATATTCATAAATACTGTCTTGGCACTGATTTCAAGACTGATGAACCTAAAGAAGACAATAACGAAATCAGTAGACAAGAATAAAAAAAAAGTTATACATAAAAGAATAAACTACAAGCTATATACTCATAATTACTGTACTAGTGCTAATTTTATGACCTAGCAAAATTTTTTTTTTTTTCTCTTAGGCAATCATGCTAGTACTTTATTAATATTCTAGTAATTACTACAATTACATTGATGTTTAACAACTAAGTCTAGCATTACCTGGTCACTCTAATGGTGCCTAAGTGCAAACCTGCCACATTACTTCAAGCAGAAGTAAACCACTCATTAGACTACTTAAAGTCCATAATGAAAGGGTCTTTCCTCTTTCATAACAAGCTTTAATATTGTCTTTCTAGCTTTATTCTTGATTTGTTTTTTCCTCTTTTTTAATTATTGAGCAAGAGGATTCTATAATTCTTATCTAAAGAACAACAGGATATACGAAAGAAAAACTAAAAGAGAGTAAAGAAAAAAGGGAACTAACTACAAAACCTAAATGTAAACCAAAAGAAAAAAAAAGAAAAAGATAACAAAAAGAAGAACAAAGAAAAAACAAAAAAAAATATGAAGGTACTGTTTTTGCCCATGCTTGGCTTTAAAAATTTTATATAATACTAAATAAAGAATACTCCACATTTACTTTATCTCTGTATTATAATATATTCCATTTGTCATATAGGGAGAATGGTTGAAGTTTTTATTTTCCTCTTGAGTTTGACATGTGTCTTTCATTGTAGATCTGATACTTGTATCATAATTTTCTCATGACTAATATTACTAATTTGGAAAGGTAAACAGTGTCGATTCTTTGGAAAGGGTATACCAAATTTCCCACTTTTTGGTAAAAATTTCGAGAGAAAAATCTAGTAGTAAGGGTGAAAGAGAAAACCAACTTGAGAAGGAGTTGTAAGAGTTATGCTATATAGAATATTATATTAAACCAAGTAACTATTTAGGCCTAAGCCCTCATAGCACTTGACAAAGCTCCAGAGCTTATCTACTACTTCTTTGCTTAGTAGTACTTGTGTTTTACTAAGGGACTTCACTTACAAGGGTTCAAATCTTTTTTAGCTCTTTTTAGTTACAACCAAGCATGCAGTGAATAGCCTTCCTAGTTAACCTAAAGTAAAGTTTTGTTATATTTAAATATAATAACTATATAGTTTTCATAGGTTAGACTTTTGGAAAAAGTTGATGTGAAGGATCATCAGTGAATTTAAAAAAGACAATAATGAAGTTAGTAGATAAGAATAAAAAAAAAATCAACATAAAAGAAATAAACTACTAGCCACATACCTTATAGTTACTGTTCTGACACTGATTTCACAATCCAGCAAACATAAAGAAAAGAATAACAAAGTTAGTAGACAATAAATTAACAAAAAGAAAGAAAAAAATCTTAAATGAACCTTAAAAATAATCATTTATATAGCCATATGACTACCCATATAATGGACTGGAATAATTAAAATTGAACCTACTAATTATTTGATTCAACCATTGTGACTCTATTGACTAATATGCCAATAATGAAGTAGAATAGTAATAGTATTACTAAGACTGTGATTCCAGATAATGTTTTTGAAAAAGGATGCTAAGGATGATTTTGATTAGAACTAAAACAAGTTATAAAAATATTTCCAAAATATCAAATTTAATAATAAATATATATATATATATATATTTTTTTAAACATATAAGCAGTCATGTTAGTACTTTATTAGGTTTTTGGAATCACATTTGTAACTATATAAATATTTCTAATATCTAAGTCTAGCATTATCTGGCTACCTTAATGGTATCTAAATGCAACCTGCTGCATTACTTTGAACAGAAGTAAGCTGCTTGTCTGACTACTTAAAGTTTATAATAAAAAGGTCTTCTCCTTTTTATGACAAGTCTCAACATTGTCTTCATTACTTTCTTCTCAATTTGTTTTTCTTTTTCTCTTATTTCTTCTTTTTTCTCTTCTCTTTTTTTCTGATTTGCCTTTTCTTGTTTTCTTGGTTCCTTTAACTTTCCACCTTTTTTTCTTTTAGTTCTATTTGTTATTTTACTCTTTTTCTCTTATTCGATAATTTTTTCACAACATATTCTTCATACTTGTTTGTAGAATGTGTCCTAGGCTGTTATTGCTACTGTATTTGCAAACTGCTGTTTTGATTTTGTGTTTAATAGCTTTGCTAGTTTGTCTTGTGTTTCTTTTAGAATTAAGTTTTTTATTAATACTTCTCTTATTTTAACTTCTTTTGTTTCTGTTTTTCCGAAGAGTGCTATATACAACATGTATGGAAGAATCTGAATCTTTTCTTCTTCCTTTAGTTTCTTTCATACTGTTGCAATGGTTACTTTTTGGATTCTCTTTCAGAGATTTCTTTGCCCTTTACATGCTGCCAAGTGTGTTTGTGTTTCTTTTACTTTATCTTGGCATACTTGGCATTCTACTGTTGTGTATATATCTGGCCTCTTTCTGTTAAGTTCTTCTAACATCAGAAGTTTATCTATTATGCATTTAATAAATGCACTTTTTCTGGAGCTGCTTCTTCTTGTTGTGCAGTGTATTTCCTTGGTCGTTTTTAGTCTTTTCCAAAAATAAGTTCAATCATAAATTGTGATTTCTGCTTTTGGCTCTAAGCTTTTAATTGCTTTCATTTCTTTCTACTCTGCTTCTAATTTTGCATTCATTACTAACTTGCAAAGCAGTTTTGCTGATATGTTAGTTTTTCTGTTTTCCTACTCTAAGCATTACTCTATCTCTTTACAACTACTCTTTTGGCCTGTACTATTTTCTACTTATCGTTTTCTTCTTTGCTAAACTATCAGCTCTATTATTTCATTTATCTTTACTATAACCTTTAACTTTAACTAACTCTATCTGAATGTTTTTTGTCTTGACAAGGTTTTTAATCTTCATTATCCATATTGCATTCTTCTTTTTAATAATCTTGTTTCTGTCTGCTTGTTCTAGACTTCTATCAATATTTCTTATTGCAGCATTACTATCTGTATGTATTTCTATTTGCTTCTCTTTAGGTATCATTAGAATTGCTGTCCAAATCACTACCAATTCTGCTATTGTTGATGTTTGTCATCCTTCTAGTTCAAATGCTACCTTTTCTTCTAGCCATTCTTGCATTTCATTTGTTTGGACCTATCCTATATCCATATCATTCTTAGATATTGGCTCTTTACTATCTCTTCCATTGATTGCACTGTCAGTATATATTATATACTTGCTTTTGTTTCTCATAATATTTTTCTTTAGAATTTCTATTATTTCTTAACTAATATTTTCTTTCAATTTTTGTCATTTGATAATTTCTATCTCTAGTTCTTCTATTGTTGTAAGACCTTTTAGTTTGCATTCACTTATTTTTGATTTGTTTATTTCTGTCTTATCTATTATTTGGTTTACAGCTATCTTAATCTGATTACTGCTCTTACTTATTAATCTATCTGGAATTACATGAGTGTTTTTATTTAATCTTATCTATTATTGACAACTGTTTTCTATCTGTTCTTCTTTACTTTTATATCCTTTACATCTGTTGATCTTAGTTGCTATTTCATTCTTTTTGCACTTTATCTACCAATGTTTGATTAATACTTTTTTTTTTTTCTTTTTGACCACCTTTCCAAGCTGTTTGTAGTTTCGTGTATCATATATTATCTATTCTTTTCTTTTTCTATCTTCTGATATATGCTCTTATTTGACTTGCATTGCCTGAGTGTTTTGTTCACCCATTCTAAAATAGCTTTGTACTGCTCTGTTCTCTAAGCTGCTAAGCACTTTGACTTAATCACTTTGAACCATTCTGCTTTTTTCCCTTTACTTGATTGGCTTTAATAACTTTTGAGTTGTTGTTATGTAATTAGTTTTTCTTCTCTCATGTCGAGTAGTTGGTTTAAATATATTAAACCAGCTTCATTTACTCTGACTGCTCCTTTTTTCACAATTGTGTATCTATCAGTTCTTGTATTTTAGCACCATACCTAAGCATTGTCCATAGTTTACTTTCTGTTCTAATATTTATTTTTAATTTTCTTGCTTTAAGTATTGTAAGACATGCTAAATTATTCTTCAAGTATGTTTTAGTTTCTGGCCACTCTTTTGTCTTTCATATATCTTCTGTTAAGCCTGCTCTTTGACAGCCTTGCATTATTCTTAGTCTTGTTAACCATCCGAGAATGTCTTGTCTGTTTAGTCTTGCTATAAGGTCACTTATTTGCTTTGTAATTAACTCTTATCGCAGT